AGAAGTCTTTGGGATGGCCTTGAAAACATCTTTGAGAATAATTTTGTTTAATTCACTTGCATACATTGCAGGCCTGCCGTGTCATGACGTGAGACATAGAAACCATCTCAACATCTCATCGCGGGCTGGCCTGTGACTCAAGTGCAGCCTTCTGCTGCGCAGATGCCTGCTGCACCTGAAGATGTTCACATGGTCAAACGCCTCTAGATCTCTATGCTCTTGACTACTTGCTTGTATTGCGCCGCACAACGTGCCTGCATTAAAGACTGATTGTACTGCTGGAGCAACTGCATCTCTTGCTGCTGCACCTTTGAAGGACATGCAGCTTGATAAACGTGTGCCACATAACATTTATATATATATAGTGCTATACAACATACATTCTTTCGCTGAAAGCAAACAAAACATAAAAGTAAATGTTACAGTAAAACAACAAATATGGCACCTGTTGTTTGATTTGCATCTCAACTTGTTGCTTCTGCTGTTGAGCCTTGGGAAAGAGAGGCCATCCCAACTCTCCGGTTTTTATTTCATTCGGGAAGAAAAAAATCTCTGAGATGCCAGCTTGTGTGTGCAAGTACTCAGATTGCTGTTTTCTCTGCTGATCCAGCGTGTTCTGGCAGCTGCTTACTGATGGATATGCATGTATATATAATATAGTCATGAGTCATGAGTCATTGCAAACCAAAGTTTTGTTCTGCACGCACCTGCCCCTGCTTCAGTTGCTCGTCCAAAAGCCTCGAGCAATGAATACAAGACTACAAAGGTACAAGGGCAAGAAAGTGTGGGTGTGGGTCACAGAAAAAGAGAGACAGCAGGCCACGCCTAATGTACCCTTCTTTCTGCTTCTGAATTACCTGGCAGTTTCATAGTTCCTAACACAATTTGAGCTTAGTCCTGTCACAAAACACCTCGGGGCTAGGTAAGCCAGGGCTTGGCTGCCAAGCCTCAGCTTCCAATGCATCAAGCCGACAACAACTCTTTGAACAGCTCACTTTCTGCTAGGTCTGCTTAGGCTTGCTGCCACCTGCGGCTGCTGCGCTGCTGGCCTTAGCTGTCAAAGTTGCTCCAGTTGAGTCTGCCCTTCATACGGTGTTTCTGCGTGTCTGCCCTTCGTCCTTACAAGCCAACAGACAGGCAGAAGTTTCGGGGCAATGAATCATTGAAAGCATGCATTCTCACCATCAACGTCCACCAAGCGCTGGCTGTTTCAAGGTGAGCCACTCAAACTTGGTCGAAAGATCAGCCAGTTCAGCTCAGTGATCATCTACTACCTGTTTGCGGCACATTCGTGCGCTTTGCAGTTATCAGAGTTGGCTAAGCTGTGCGGATCGGCTCCATGGTGAGCTGCAGCAATCGCGATTGGTGTCGCTCGTTCTTGCGAGCATTTGCTCAGACCCGTGCTGATTCTCGGGGCGGTGGCTGTGGTGCACCAACGCATGCAAAAGGCACCAATTCGGTGCCGATTCTCGCGTCGACCCTGACTGCGAGTAACCCAGTCCTGAGACCTACTCAGGTACCTTTGAGGTACCTTTCCCTTGCTTTCCTCTCTTGCTGCGTTTGGGTTCCTACAACTGGAGTGCGTTTGGATCTCGCAGGAGCCTCACAAATCCGCGGGATGGTCTGCCACGGTCTCGTCAAAGCAAGGGATGGAAACAACGTTGTTTGCTGACTGATTGAAAAAATCTGGGTTCATCCCTTGCTCAAAACACCGATGGAAAATCCGTTTTGGCAAAACGTCTTGCCACAGTTCGACGCGGGCCGAAGATGGTCATCCTCAGTCTCTGACGGCGGGACGAAGGATGGAATTCTCTGTGCCATGGACGCCAGGCCTTCCATGGAACAAGAGTTCCATTCGCAACCTATGGAACAAGTGCCTTACTAGTAGAAACAAGTGCCTTACTAGTAGTAACAAGAAGCTAGTAGAAACAATAATTAGAATTAAATTGGATTACACATCACCAATCTGCTCAAAGAAGCCGTCGGTCAAGCCCGACGAGTCTGGATCGAACCTGCGCCGGCAAGGCTCTTCACCCAGGCTTATGATGCATCTGCGAGCAATAACAAGGGCCTGCGAGGGAAGAAACAAAGAGCTCGAAAACACCTTTCTTGAAGCCATGAAAGTGTTCTGAAATAGTTGTTAATTGGAAAGAGTGTTGTCTCTGGTTGAATTGCCAAGTCCCCGTGCTCTGTGTACTTCGTCTCTTTGCAGTCCCAAGGCGCTGCTGCTTTTTCATTGCATTGCCGTGTCTGGCATGCTTCCGGTGGCTGAAAATCACCAATCACTACACACCTCTGGTCGCTTCTTCAGCTGGCCGGCTGTGTTTTGATGGCCGGCTCATGTTCCATGCGCTCGCTGGGCACAAGTCGGCATGTGCATGTTCTTCAGCAGCTACAGGTTCTTCAGCATCGTAAATCGTGCTCGCATCGCAGCACGGGTCCTGAGGCGCATCACGAAAGACCACAAATGCTGTAAAACTTCATGCGTGCCCTGCGCACCTTCACTGTGGTAGCAAAGTTCGACCTCATGCGATAATGCAGGAGATCCTCAATCAGGTGTAGAACTCCTGCATCATGCTCTACCATGTATCACTGTTACGTCAACTGTGGTAGTATAAGTAATCACAAAAAACCAACGAAGAAAGTCCTTCAAATTCAGGTCAACTTGCCTTCCGTTCACAGCCTCCGTTCCATGTCAGATTCCAATAGAAAAGGCCAACAAACATACAAACTAGTAGATTCAGTTTTTGATCTATGTTCCACCTTTGTCTCTTCAAAACAATGCAGCAATTGAAACACTTCCCAAACCACGAACGAGAAACACTCAAGATTGCGCCTGCACTGCCTGAGAAGTGTCCAAGAAATTCACATTCTTCAAGGTAGGTCTTTGCCTGCCAAATGCAACTACGCCTGTCTTCACCTCTTCAGCTAATATACAACTCACAAGCCTTGTTGCAGCCCGCAAACCGTCAGCGAAATGTCCATATCAACGGTTGCCTCACTTTGCTTTGCTTGTTGGAAAAGCAACGTGAACCCACTCAAGGTCACTGCGAAACGTGAGGGGCCGGAGGGTAAAAGCCAGCCCATTAGGCCTCCAATGTTTGCAAAGTTGATGATCCAAAACATTCAAAAAAAAAGTCATTCAAAACAAAAAATCCCCGCAGCACCGAGCCTCGATCAGTACCGACCTGCTCAGTCAAAACACGGGGACTCTTGAAATCAACAAACCACTTGAATGAAACAAGTTGGCCTGAAATTATATATGGGATTCTCTCACGTACTTGTTCAATTATCTATCTTTCGCCGCCCAAATCCTAAGAGAGCCAACGCACAGAAGCCTCGTTGAGGGGAATTGGTATTCAGGGCATCTTCAGAAAGTTCCGGCACAACAGGCGAACATGAACCACAACATCTGACCGAATATATAAATAGCCTTGATTAAGCAAGAAGGCAGCAGGACAGAAGACCACGCATGACTATGGAAAGGATTACAGCAGAAGTAAGCTGGAGACACTTCACTAAAAGCACTCACGTGCCTCAATGCTACTTGCGGCGAACCATGCCAAACACTTGCACTCAACACAAACTGCTTTGTGCCAATCTAAAAAAAATGTTTGGGAATACCGTAGGTGCTTTCTGTTGGTGCAGTACATTGCTGAATGTATAAATGTACTCCAAGGTGCAAGATATTTTGTCTCAGTGGAGCAAACCAACTTTCAGGACTGTGATTGCCTGAAATAGCAAGTGCCTCATGCCGCTGATACAGTATTGCATCATATTGCATCTATAATATACAGTATGTGTCACATTGAACTGAAATTGATACCTACAGTGCTCGCCCCTGGGTCGTCTTAGGTTTCAACTGTCTCATGGCCCAGTTCTGGCCCAGTTGTGTCGTTCTCCTCTCCAGCGAGCTTTCTGGCACCACCTCCTGCCTCGCGGTCCTCAGTTGTAGGTCCTCAGTGGTCTCGGTCTCACATTGGCCACCGTCCTTTGCAACAGCTTCTCACCTGGCGAGCCAGTGGACCTTCGAGGGGCGCCAGGGCCATGCGGTTCCAAACGAAGCATCCCGATACGGTCGGTCACGTCGTACGAAGCTATTCCGAATGCGTACGCAGTTGCGGTTCCAGTGGTACCAAGTCCCCAAGCGGCCGGCCAGCTTTCTGTCCGCTTGTGGCCACACGGACCACCAATGAGTGTTAGCTGTTAGCTCACAAAGGAGCACCAACGAGTGTGGCGCACCTTGCAGTGTTGAATCTCCATCGGTAGCAAACTGGCAGCTCCTAAATGGGCCAAAAAACGCGATCAACGAGCCAAGACGTCCAAAAGAGCGCCCGAAAAGAAGCCTTGCAAGAATGCCGAGGAGTTCACGCTTTACAGCAGAGCACGTGCACTCCCATTAAAGACGTCGATTGGCATTATCGCAGCTTGCCCCCCCTTTGGTTCCCCTCTGTCAGCAGCCGCCCAGCCCAACCCGGTCAGAGCCGCTCCAACAAGAAGTTCTCACCTAGCAGCCCACCACACTGGAGGCAAAAGAACAAATAGTAGCTATATGTGGCCACACCACGCTGTTGCACGCTGGATCACCAGGAGTGAACAAGGATGAAAGAACGATAAACGCAGAGCCGTATGATTGCAACCACAAGAGATGAGATGTGATGGGGATTGTGTTTTTAATGAGCTAATTTGGGGATTGCTGAAGATCTGATAGGTTCACAAGGTCCAGAGTCCAAAGCAAAACCTCGATTCTCCGTTGGAACGGGCGGCCGGGAGTAGCACTTTCGATGTTTCACTCAGAAGCTATCAGCAGAGGAAGGGGAGATGGAACGTCCTCGGAAGTGGAGATTGAGATAGATTGAGTACCTTGCGAACAGTAGACACTCGGCACGTTGACATGAAACACGGCGGCCAACCATATGACCTGGCCTGCAGCTCACATGACCAAGCTCCAGCTTTAGCCGGGCATTGCAAGAGCGACCTGGCAACAGGTTCAAATCAATCATCAGCGGGATGATGCCAGTTGTGTCGATCAATCATCATAGGTCAGTCAGCAAACGAAACAGGAATCGACTCAGGTAGCACTGGTGTGACTGGCACAATAACACCGCGGCCCTTTCCTGCAACCAGTTATTACTGTAAGTCAGCACGAGCGAGGCAACACCAACCCTGCACCGAGACCATCAAGAGCATACCCGGAGACCATTCGGAGATCGGAAATTCACGCCCGCCGCAGGAGCACCGATACCAGGGCAAATTCCCCAGTCTCCAAATGAGAAGATAGACCACCTAGGCATACACTTGGACTATCTGACGATCTATTGTTTCGCACCGCAACTGTCGCAAATCCGAAAGAAAATCTGATAGAAGTTTGGGCAAGACTGGATTGGGTGGGTGGGTGCGGGTGGTGTGGGGCCGGGACATGCGTTCTTAGTTCCATTTTAACAAAATGATTGTCGCTTTCACAAGGTTGTCTACGCAAAAGCACTTCAGACTCTCATCCGCCGTGCAACCATCACAAAACCCAATAGTTCCCCCCTCTGAACCCCGGTTTTCCGTGTCTAAAAGCATAAAACTACATCTCAGCCAAATTAAAACTAGCTAACAGGATCGTTTAAAGGTTCCTACATGTTCCGGCTGCTTCTGCTGCTCCTACGACGACGACGACGACGACGACCACCACCACCACCACCACTGCTACTACTGCTACTATTGCTACTACTGCTACTGCTACTGCTACTACTAGCAGTGGCAATATATAATGACAATGACAATAATGCTACTGCTACTACTCTTCCTCAACTTCCTACCTTTGTTTGTTGTTTGGTGTTGTAGCTGTTGCCGTTGTTTGTGGAGAAAAAGACTGTGACCCCGTTGCCATCACAAACGTTTTAAGTACCTCCTCAGACTTTGAACCGCAAGAACTTGCGATTTTGTGATGTTGGCCCACAGAGGAGAGAGAGGGAGGGAGAGAAGCTGGGAGGGAAATCGAGCAAAGCTGAGAATTGAGAAGCAGGGGACATTGAGATGTTCAAGAGCCTCTTTTTTGCTACAATAGAAGGCAAGCAGCAGTGAAGCAGTGCGCACTTTAAGCCTCACATCTCAGGGATCCCAGGGATTGTAAGCAAACAAATGTGTCCTCCATAAAGAAGCAGGCGCACCTCAAGCATACCGGTTCCAGTTGCCCAACTTCCACGTCCTGCAGAGCTCAAGTTAAACTGTCCAACCCTGTAGATCCTGTCAGAATCTATGATTAGAATCTGTCATTAGTAGAATCTGTCATTAGATCCCTCCTTCTGCATGCTGCAAGCTAAAATCCTATGATCCCATGGACACCAACCCAGTCCCATTGGTCAATGCCACTCGCCAGGCTACACGAGCAAGACATTGGCACATCGTTAGTAGCATCGTTGAGACCGTTTTTCGGCGCAGTCGACACCAACTTGAAAGTGACCCTTCTAATGAGAAGACTCAAAAAAAAGGCATGGCACGCTATACAACCACACACCAAGGTCACCCAGTTCAACCCACTCCAGTGCTCCCACATATTCTGCAACCTTTTGAGTGATTCCAGCTCTTTCCGTAAGGGTTCTTACTATCCAAGTCTTTGAAACCTGAACACTGCCACGTGGTCCACTCCTGATCGTCGTACAGAGCGATGTGGAGCTTCTTAGACAAATCGCGGCCATCCACCATGTGTACAATATTTTCAAACCTGGGCACAAAACGACTCCTTGCCATAAAAGGTATAAGGTCTTGGGAGCATCCATGGCTCTGTTGCTGTGCCGTTCGGTCGCTTGGGAGTGTGGCCACTGCAATTCCACACGGTAGTCCTCCTTGCTTTGTGCCTGCATGGCTGGAAACGGCCACGATTGGTGTACGTGATTTGGGTGCCGCCGGCGTGTGCGAGTCCTGGGCGTTTCAAGAGGGAAACTCAGGAAAGGGAGCTTCCAAGTTAGAGCCCTACAGTGCAGTAGCTGCTTGTTTTCCTGGTGTATTTTTGAAAACCGATGTAAATGATACGCTATCGTGTTGAATCTAGCTGGTTTAAAAGCCTTGCCAGAAGCAATTGCATGTTTGCAGGGCAATGACATGTCAACGATGTCAATAACGTTGTAGAAGTTTAGCCTGCAGCAACTGTTCTTGCCGATGATTGAAGTCTTCACGCGCCCTGGCAAACTGCATCATATCAAATCATATACTGTATCTGTATCTGTTGTGTAGGCCTCTAAGAAAACCAAGTGCCTGATGTAGGACTGAACGAGTTCCTCTGCAATGCCAAGGATGAACACAATGTCCTGCACACAAGAAGTTACAACCCTAGCTGCTACACCTAGCTGCTGTCCACCTAGCTTTGGCATGTCGAAAAACATGTTTTGTGGCCTTCAATTTGTATCCACGGCTGTGAAGATTGTCAATGACCTCAGTTTCATTGAGTTCACCAAGTTTGAAAAGACACCTGTGGAACCCAAGTCTGCCATAGGTTTTGGCTGGAAAAAGCCGTGGGTTGATGGCGACTTGAGGGAATTGTAGCCTCAGCAATTCCAGCTTTTTGTGCAAGGTCAAAAGGGGCTAGCGGCAGCTACAAAGTGCAAGTCCTCTGGGCCAAGCTTCAAGCTGGTTTCCATGAGTGCGCCCCTTTTTACTTACCTTGCTGAAATGTCACAAGTCACAGCATAACCGAACTTGAATTGCTCGCAAATATACAATCATGACATGAGGATAGCACCTTTACACACGCTTCAAAATCATCAATCCAGGTCCTGCATCAAAAATGTTTCAAGCACAACCATGGTCTTCAGGTGCCTGTCCTCCACCTCAGCCCTGTTCCTGTGGGAAACCCTCTGCCTTTGAGGAGATCCAGTGCGATCAGAACCTTCAAGCAAAAAGCACCTAGCTGAGCTTAGCTACCCTGACACAGTCAAGTTCAACCTGCCTGAGAAATAGCGAGTTCATGGGATGGGCTGACCATGTCCTCAGGCAGCCAGAAGGGACCACTTTCACCTGTTGAAAGGCGCTCAAGTGATAAAACGGAAACAAAGGGACTATGTGAGTCCCATAAGCCATGGACAAACCACCGAACTTCCAATTCCAAAGTCGATGCGCTTCCTTGATTGACTGGGTCGTCCACCTGGAGCAGCATCCGAACCAGGCGTGATTGTTGCACGTGCAAAAATGTCCATGTGTTGCGCGTGTAACTGCTAGTGCTGCATGTTGTTTCTATACTTGGCGTGCAACCTATGCGACAGACTTGTTGACGGAACTAAGGAGTTGTGCTCCGCATTGCAATGTCACCAGGCCGGGTCCAGCTCGAGGTCTGATTCAGCTGGCTGCACCATTTAGCAAGGTGTGCACGTGCGCACTCATCAAGCTGCACGCAGCACTAGGAATGGAAACAAGTCTTGAAGAGTATAAGACGCAGGATAACTCCAAACCATTGCCCAACTTAGTTGACTCTACTTCCAACTCTTCTGCACGCAAGCTGGTCGATGACACGAAGCAAAAAACGTGGGGCACCTGGGGAGATCTGTCTGTGGGTGACCAGGCAACCCTGCTGGAGCACCACCAAAAAGGGCATACCAAACATGTGGTATGAAAGAGAAAGGCAAAGACCTTGTGAGACATCTCACCGAGCAGCTCCCGCAGCATCTAACCGTACGTCGACTGCCCCGATCTCCAACGATCTCGGTTTGTTGGGCCCTCGATCTCGCGCAAACATCCGCGCAGTCGTCTCGCATGCCATATGGCGGCTATGGTAGATTGTCGTGTGTACGTCAGGGTGCATGCAGTGTACATTAAATGTTGAAGTGTCACCATACCAACAAACACAAAGCAAGAATAGATGCCTGCTGCCTGCCGTATCTCAATCGAAATACATGCATTCAGGACGAACCAAGGCATGACGCATATGAGAGTTGTTTAATATTTAACAGCTTGCGCGTAAGTAGGGATGCAGTTTCCCGTGCAATTCATGCTCTGACAACGAAGTAACTCCTGTGGTACATGATAGGCACAGGACAAGGTGAGTATCAGTTGATTGGTCAACAATGGATCAATATCTTCTGGAACAAGTGCATCGCTTCTAGTAACAAGTGCCGTACTAGTAGTAACAAGGACGCTACTAGGGGCTCCTGGCCGTACTACTAGGAGCAAGAATTCAGTAGGTTCTTGGCTCATCAACTACCTGATACTGATGTGAAAGGGGAACGACCGAAAGAAAGACCGAAAGACCTTCTACTTCTGGAGGAACAACCGCTACTTCTGCGAGGAACGCTCTTCTACTTGGACGCCTTGGACGCCTTACTTGAACCTCCAACAAACTTGCACGTCCCAGAAACTTTCCACAACAAAGCTGTGCAAAACCAAGGCAGGGGCGTGTAGTAGCTCACGATTCACCTATTGAACACTTGCTTGATTCTTTCAGCCAAAGCTCAGGAGAACGCACAGCGCCTGTGATGTATCCAGAACCAAGCTGTGGCGCCTCGCCCCTCCTGCCTGCAAAGCTGCAGCATAGAAAAAGCTAATAGACCTGTAGTAAGAATGCTCCTAGTAGCGATGCCAGGAGCCCCTAGTAGCGTCCTTGCTCCTAGTAGTAAGGCCAGGAGCCAGGAGCCCCTAGTAGCTTCTTGTTAATAGACCTGATATGACCTGATTTGTTGCTCCCAAGACCACTTTGACTGCCTCACCTCACGCCAGCGGCGCATGTGCCCCAGCCTGTGGGAGACACCTGGCAATTGGGACTGCATGGGCATACTGGTAGCCGAAGGCAGCTGGTTCAATGTAGTTTAAGTCGTTTTGACTGTTGAACAGCACATGAGTCACGTGTCCACAACATTGGGCTGGTGTACGGCCCAGAAAGCCAGTGAAGTTGTGGCTCAAGAGACTCCCAGACGCTTCGGCCAACACCTGCAGCACAAGTCTGGTGCTTCGAAAGGCTTCGTCTTTTGCAGGTTTCATGTTGACCTGTTGACCCACCTCGATGTCGAGATGCTGTTCGCGGTGATGAACCACTAGGTAGCCTCCTGGCCTGAGAGCTGAAGGGATGGGAGTGAAAGTTGCTTATGAGCAAGGAAGTCCGTCCCAAAAGAAGAGATGAAACAAGGAAAGTAAGGCCCCCTTTGACACGGCCCCCTTTGAAGGTTTCTAAAGGAGCCCTACCTCTTTTTATATTCTTTCCCTTCAGCTCACACACAAGGCTAAAGCGGCTCAAACACAATGCCACTTGCGTCACACCGGCCGTCTGCCTCTCTTAGTCGCCAGCTCATCTCGCCACTCCGGCTGAGTGGTGTTGTGTACAGTGCTCGTTTTGAAGGAGGTATCTCCCAACCTGAAATTAGTCTTTTCGAAAAATTACCCAGGGGCCCAGGAACTATTCGAAGTAATAGACTTTGACAAAGCAATACTTCCTGTGAATGCCAGTGCGTGGACCACGCTGTCCAGCATCCAAGGTTCCAGCGAGAGAACACAATAAGGGTGAGAAGTAAAAGATCCCTCTTCAAATGCGTGACCTCAGCTTCACACGTTCGCTGAGCTTCACAAGTTTCTGCGCGTAAGGGGTCTGCAAAAGTCCCTGATTTGCTTCTCGACCCAAAACAAGTTCTTTGCATACGTCACCGCTCTCCCTTAGAGTCCAGCAGTTCACTCCTGCAAGGTCTCTGGCTCGCAAGACCTGAGGCCGTCGCAGACCAGTGCCGTCTCTCCAGCAGTCACCCGTTGGAGACACTCAAAGACACTCAGAGACAAGACACTCGTACGTGCAGAACTCCCAGAGGCCGTCGCACCATGGCCTGTTTTTTGCATCGTGCGCGACGTCGGGACCGAATCCGGGCCGGTTCAGACCTCTGCGTTGTCAACCGGACGAGTTCGGCCGGTTCGAAGGCATTTGAGACCTTAACCTAACAGCAATGGCCTCCAAGCTAATAGCAATGGCCTCCAATCTAATGGCATTTTAGACCTGTTTTAGACCTTGGATTGGAAATTCGATTTGATGCATCAACCCGCCTGGAGAGGGTCCACCTCAGGACTTAAGACGATGGCCTCACCCAAGCGGTGGCCCAAGAAATGAGCTTTCCTTCTGTCCAAACCAGTTTAGTTTGTCTATGTTTTGTGTTTTGCCTTTAGCATTTTCTATCAAAAGCTGCCAGGTGCACCAATATCTTGAACAAGGATTGTCTTGAAATGTGTCCTTGTCACCAAGTGACCCATGTTACAAATGGTTACGTTCCGTTTAAGTCCATGAAGTTCCATGTTCAACCTTCCTCCATGCTCTATTTTTGTTATGCAGGATTCAGCAATCAAAAGTCAGAATGTCCAAGGTTTCGCTGTAGACTATGCACAGCCTATACTGATACTGTAGCGATAAAGCGAAAACGAAGAGTGGAAACAGCCAGCAGATTGGCTCGAAGTTCAAGGGTGTCCGTTTTGCTTGGGGCCTTCACAACTTCGTCATATTCCATGTTCTTGCCGGAAAAAAGTGTGGTGGCCATCGGTAAAGGTTGTGCCGATCTGTGGTGCTCCGTGAGATCTGTCGCCATCTCTCGGCGACGGCGACAAACAAGGGAGTCATGAAATTCAGATTTGTTCGATGACCATGTGGTCGTGAAATTGATGTGCAACCGGCGACCATGTTGTGAAAACACGAAAAAAGTTGAGGATTCTCGCCTCAACACCCCCCACCCCACCCAAAACCATTGCAGGCATGTGATAAAGACAGCATGAAGTCGGAGAGCCTCGGATAGGAAATCATTCACGAGAGCGAGGTAAACCCCAAGGGTGCAGGGTGTGCCTACAATGTGTGTAGGGTGCAGACTGGCAGAAATTGAACGAGTCCGTAAGATGCATGCTGATTTCACTTTGGTTGGCGGTGTGGTGCCCCTCAAATGAAACTAATGAATACTAGATTCAAAAACTTTTAAGAGTGAGTAACGACTGACTGGCCTGGGGCGCTGCATGTGCTGAAATGTGTCCGACTCGTCGTGTCCCCGCCTTGATTCGTGGAAGGACCAAATGTCCTCTTAGCGCCTCCTTGACCGAATCCCTGATGGTCTGCTCAATACCTTACAGACTTCCAAACCCCAAGATCGCCCCACGACCGCCCAATCATTCGAAGGGACTCAGAATCACATGATTGCCTAGCACGTGTCAACAACGATTTGGCCATTTAGCCATTTAGCATCTAGCAAATGGTCAATCTATGTCAATCTTGCAGCCTCAGGGAGTTAGGAAGCTTTCGTTGTTGCATGTTGCAAGCTTGTCTCCAGCAAGACAAAAGCGAAGGAGAATCGACTGTACAGTGCCAAATGTGCCAAACCCAACGCAATAACAAGGTCTGATCTAGCCAAGGAAGGCAACACGCAACACCAGACCAAAAAGGAGGTCCTTCACGCAGATCTTCAGCGCATGGCCCGACGAACGACTCGGTTCCACCATCCTTCCAAGGCGGAATGGCACCGATGCCGTACAAACAACAAGCACGATGCCGTCAGCACAGAGCGGCGGGGCAGTTGGCCCTTCATGCGGTCCGCATGGGTCGGCCCTCATGGTCGCATGGGTTGCGATGTCTTCATATAGTGCTCATCTGTTCCGATCACGGAACCTGCCATCGAAATCCCACCTCACTGCACAAATAGGTCGTTCACCAAGCAATTGCGCGGCAACGCAGCTATTACATGCTCTTGTTTTATAGCAAAGGATAGCAGTGCGCAGCATGGCGTGGCACTCCGCTTCGAGCTGCAATTCACCTCAGCGCCACTCAGCACCACTGACTCACTTCTCTTGGCCAAGGCTGCGCCTATCTTCCCGGAAAAGGGCGCAGTCCACTGAAAGGATTAGTAGCAAGAAGCTAGTAGTGGCTTCTTGCTACTAGTAGGAATGCACTTGTTACTAGTAGCGATGCCCTTGTTAATATCTGAAAGCAAAGCCAAAGCGAGATGCGAAAACTTGAGAGCTTCAACGCAAGCTTCACGGTGATTCCACGTCTGCGCATAAAAAGAGCATCGTGCAGAACACTTGCAAAGCCAAAGCGAGATGCGTGGTAGAGTAACATGGTCCTGCAGTATGAGCTTCTTGCTACTCTACTAGTAAGGTGCCTCGTAGTAAGATGTAGCTTCTGGTTTTACGACGTTTCTCCTTCGCGTCAAAAAGACCCTTTCTCTACGTCCCCTGTGGAGCGGCCGAGGTGCCAGGGAAGTGCCCCAGAGCGGCCAGGCCCGTGAACTCCATGTCCAACTGGACGACTCATTGCGGGGTCGAAGTTTTTTCATTCAGTTCCAAGACTTCATTGGGTCGCGGGTTGAAGTTCTTTCACACCAAGACACATGAGTTTATGTTTATGTTTTTATGAGATTGAAGCCAACGTCAAGCACAAATGTGTCTTCATTGAACTAAACCAGAAGACGGTGACCCGACGCAAAGAGCAACGCAGCAGCGCATGGTGCGACCCGGCCTCTGGGACGCGGGGAAAAAACACCTGAGCACCGCCCACGATCGGGAACTGCCTTGGTGCAGGCCACAGGGTGCAGGCCACAGGGCGCAGGCCACAGGGCGCCGCGAACTATCTTCGGGCTACATCTCGAGGCTTTTGCGGCATAATGGGCTGGAAGGAGATACAAACTTTGCCGCTGCAACTCAACTGCCTGGCCACGTGATGGATGCTCCACACTTACATCCAAAATTGTGCTCAGCTGGCCTCATTCCAAAACACAAACCATTGCCAGTGTCTACACTCACATCAACCTAAGGCACTGCAAATTTGTCAGCGACTAGAAACAGAGAGCTGACTCTCGGCTACCAACGTCACTGAAGTATTTCATGTCAAGGACCTCAGTTCAGCTGAGAGTTGAATCAATGCGTTGCTTGTTCAACCCTGATTGAGAAAGTCGGCGCTTGTGTAAGTCTGAGGTTTCAGGCAATGTCCACTCTTTCTTTGCCGCGGGTGACTTGCACTGGGCCCAACTCAGGGCTTTTACTTCCTTGGAATGCCCAACAGCAAAACAACAGGAACAAACAATGTGGAACAAAGTGGAACACTGCCTCGGCTGCCACCTTTACACCGGAAGGCATCGATAAGTCCATGAGGTATTCATATGTACATAGAAGGTGCTTGGTTGCAGGATCTGCATGTTTTTGAAACAAACTTCGATGATGGTGCGCAGGCTTAGCGGCAAGCTTTAGCCCGTCATCGCAAGTCAAAACCAATTCTCAAAGCTTTGCAATCCATGAATAGACCACGCTAAAGGAAGCCAGGCAAGGCGGCAAGGGAATCTGCTTCAATATTTCAAAGGCTTATGGACATTTGGTCTTTGCCTCACGGGGTCTCATCTCACCAAGCTCAAGCGATTTGAGGGCTGAGCCCAGAGTGAAGCGAGAAAACGTGACATTCCTGCAGGATTCAAAAATAGAAATCCAAGACACGTGTCTGAATTGTCCAAGCTGCCTGAAAAAGGAAGGTAACGATTGCTGCAACCTCCCAGAAACCAAAGAAAACACTTTCTCGTGAGACAATCGCTCTTGCCTCGGGGTCAACTCGTGATTCACAAACTGTACCAAGGCCCTGACAAACGAAAGTCAGAAAGAAACACACCGAAGCTGATTCGATGCCTTTTTTTCATTGTTTGGAATACATGGACAAACCAACAAAGCAGCGCAGTTTTGCGTAACGTCAGTGATGACCACATAGGTAGAGGCTTCGGACATGTTGAAACCATCCATGCCTTGTTAACACCGAACCGTCTTGTATTGCTGTTGCCTCTTCACCGATTTCTTTGTTCAGATTTGTATTTGTGTTTGCGTCGGCAGCTGAGGAAGCATCTATTGGCTGCTGACCAAACGCGCTTGAAGTGACCCTGTGTCCTTTTTATCATATGCATGTATACACATACATAAGTAGATACAAACCTCATGTTTCAAGCTACACAAGTTCAAAAAAGTCACGTGTGGGGTGTGGGGCTTGTCAAATTGATACCCTGAACTTGACTAAACCCACCTTTGGTCGGTCAGGAGGGCACAGCCGCATCAGGCCGAAATGTCGAGTTTCGGTCCAACTGTCGAACCCGGGATGGGTCAAGAAGACCGAGTTCCAAGCGGCTCGGAACTCGGTGTGCTTTCGGTTGCAATTTTTGAGGACGCAAAGAAAAAACAACCAGTAAGCAGAGTAAGCAGATAGAAAACAGGCCCAGTTGCACAGCACAGGCGTACGCAGAAACATCTAGGCTTGGTGGAAGTCTAGAGTCTAGATCGCAGTGCTTCAAGAGGCCAGCAAAAAACACGTGAAGACCGAACAAGGTGTTGTGATGGGCTCCGTCAAATTGAGCAGGATAGTCAAGCAAACCCAAGAAGAACCCTCGCTAATTTAGGAGGTCAGAGTGAAACAGCCAGGGACAGCCCCGAACAGCCTAGACCTAGATCAGCAACGGAGCAAGACCCATCCGGCATTGCACCCCAAGAGTAGCTCACAGCAAATCATTCTTTTGAGGGTTTCGAGCGAAACCGGAACGGGACGGCTGACGACTCATCTTGGAATTCGCGATGAAACCCAGACCCAAAAAGAGCAGGAGACAAGAACATGGATGCAGCGCGTTCCAAAACGAGATCAATCTCGCGTTCCAAAACGAGGCGGTTCCCGAACGGGACCAGGAAGCGTTGCTGGCACCAAATCCCACAGTGCCGGCTGGTGTATCTTCCTCCTAGTGTTCTTCTTCCTCAACGACGGGCTGGGCGCAAGCACAGGTTGTTTTTTTGTTGTGCTTAATATACTGATCTTTCGACACCTACTCGTCTCACACCTTCTCCCACTCCACCGCATGACCCCGGCCTGTTGAGATTCGGCCATAGCCAGCTAAACAAAACATTCAACCAAGACAAGTTGTCCAAGTCCGCGAAGGATTCGGCACCTGTAAGTGGCAAGCGGCGTTTCGATGTGTTGCTCCGCGCAACTCGCGATGCCGTCGCGTGTCAAATACTTTGGCATCTCTGAGGTCCTTGCGGCTGGGCAATCTTCCCAAGGATGGTTTCATTCCACGACGCGCCCTCAAACCGCATGCGGAGGATTCTTTACACAAAGATCAAGCTGCACAGTCACACCAAAGAGGATTTCTGGGCCACACGCGGGGAGATGTCTTCAGGAGGCATCACCTGTATGGGAAAGTACTGGACAAGAAAGCTGAAGATGCCAATGTCAGGTGCCACACCTGCACTTTGCCACCCTTTCGTTTACTTCGGACAGCTCTGTCTTGCACACCGGCCTCCTGAACTCAAGAAGATTGCAAGATTATACCAGCATAGACCCCAAACAGCTTCAACGCGATTCGCTTAGACCAGTATAAGTCAAAGAACCGTTGGTGCGCCTTAATTACCTTTACCCCAAGAGCAATCTGCTTCATCAATGAATTTTGGTCAGCGTTGACATCGCTATTTGTTCGGCCACACTCCTCTCCAGTAAGCCGGGCCACAGAGACCAGCCACAGAGTTCAGGGGCACGGCCAAGACAAGGACAAGAGGACAAGAAGAGGACAAGAGGAGGACAAGGCCCAGCCACAGAGCCGTCCAGGCCAGAGCCCAGCCACAGAGTTCAGGGGCGCGGCCAAGAGGAGGACAAGGCCTGGACACAGAGCCCAGCCACAGAGACCAGCCACAGAGTTCAGGGGCGCGGCCAGTGAGTGTGGCCAGCTCTTGTTTTTTCTGAGATAGAACCCCAACAGTAAACTGTTTGAGGAAAAAAAGTTGTGGCCACACTCTGTTTTGGATATATTCCTCTTGCCAGTGGTACTAGGAGATGCAAAAAAGAGGAGTGAAAGCCTGTCAATACCTCGTGGTAGGTAGGTCGGTCTTTATTTCCGGCATCCACGACTTACGGCAACCTGCCAACGCGTGCCCTCAGCCCGCAGACCATCCACAACACAACCTGCACCCCTTCACTTCCCACCATTGAGCCACAGCAGAAATCCTGCACACCAACTTGCTTTTCCGGAGCCGGAGTTGGAAATTACATATATATATACACATATGGCCATACGTCGTTGAACGCCTTCTCGCCGTCGTGGACTCACTGACATAGTGAGTCATACAGCAACTATTCAACGATTCCGCCAGATTTCCCCACCAAAGTTCCAGCGCCCTTAGACTTTTCTACTAAATTCACATTATATAACCCCTAAGTTTCGATTTGTTTCGAATGACCTCCTTCTGGCCAAACCTGAGGTTAGTGAGCATGTTTTTGCCGGAAAAAATGTGCAGTGCCTGCAAAAGAGAAACCAGGCAACCCGATTAGACTTGCTACCACCGACCTTTCAGTTTGTGAACAACTGGACAAATGGATGGCAAACTTATACTGAACTATGCACATGCAGGATGGATGCAGAATCCTCCTCAGATCTTGAATGGACAAGCAGCGGTCTTGGCGACCGCTGGACGGCGAGTAGAACACCGATGTACTTGTTCTCTATTGAAATTGAACATGCAAAGCGCGAGATGGTCAGATGGTCATAGCTCGTTGAAGTGCATCAATCTTGCGCAAGCACAAACAGTTGGTTGGAGCATGTGTGTCCAAGCCATTTGAGGAGCACAGAACAGGGTGTGTGTCCAAGCCCAGTAATCAAACCACCTCAGAGTCAGCACGTCCCAACGGTGCTGCGAGACGTCGGAGGCTCCACTCAGTTCGCATGTCGAAGCGCTGAAGCGCTGCTCGCATGCGGCCCTGCAAAACATGTGTGACCAGTACGCTGGAACAATATCACTGTAACCTGTAACCTGATTGATAAAACACAAGTTGTACTGTACTGTTCCGTAAGACACCTGACTGTGCGACCTTTTGGCACATACCACACGAAGATATGCCGCACTCCTCCTGCATTGCAGAGCTTCTGGGCAGTCGTACACCATCTTGTGACCCAGCAAACGTCCTTGGTGTATGGGTCGAATGCTGCTACTGTAAACTAAAAGAAAGGCAGGCAAGGTCCATGAGGCCAACAGTCATGAAATTCACCTGTTGCAAAGCTTCTTACACATAAGTTGCTGGCATATCCAGCTCATGGCGAGCGTTTCTTCAAGAACCACCACTCACAAAAATCAAAAGTTGCCGTTGGCAAGCATCTCTACATCTTCACAAGTTAGCCACTTTGACAAGGCCCCACATTTATATACATGGACACATTCAACCTGCTTTGTCACTCTTATATTATTTCTTTAAAAGTCTCAGGATCACCTCTGCATACTAAGTGTTTCTTGAGTGTTGATTGCAGCGAGAATTGACGCAGCACAACATCAATGCTCAACTGGCCTAGAGTCCTCTATTGACAGCGCTGAAGGAAATATGTAGAAAAGTTGCAGTGAGGAGGCAAGAGTTCAAGACAATTAGACAAAAGTCAGCGCATGGTGTCGCTTTTTTCACCAGCAACTTGACCAATGGGGCAAGATTGCGGTCTAGAATGGCATGTTTGCCAAATCGCACACAGCAGAAAGGCACTCTGCCATTGGGTGGAAGTAGCAGCATGCTACCAGCTTCTGCCGCTTCTGCCGTACCTTGAAAGGACAAAAAATCAGGGGAGCCTGAACACTTGCAAAGGAAGCTGTGCACGCAGCTTGGCCTTTCTAGAGCTGCTAACAACACAAAAGACTCGTAGCAAGCGGTTTTCAAGCATGCTCTTTTATGTGTCATTCTTGAACTTGCTTCTTGCACAAGATGCCTCGGAGGGAGACTCTGGCCAAACGACCGCCGACAACATGTGCAGCCTGAGTATAGCATCAAGATTCTATGGCAAGTCAAGATTCTATGCAAATGCAATGGGAAAAAGGGCAAGACAAAGACTCATTCCAAAACAACTGACAGCATGTCTGTTTCTGTGGTTGCTACTCAAGGTCTGGCTTTGCCACAACACCTGAAGAACCAAAACATGGAGTCTCATGAACTCTATGCAGGCAAAAGAGAACATCCTATTGGAATCGCTTGAACACATGATAGGAGCAGTCTACAATACAATACTATAAACCAACGGCAGCAACACGTCCCGGTGAATCAACGGCCTCGCCACCGCATTCAGTGCACCGAATCACCTGAGAGTACGACACATCGATACGACACGCATTGAATCGACGCACCGAAATTCGAGCCACGGGAGCCTGAGGCTGAAAAAGATCCAAAAGCCCTGAGGCTGAAGCAACAGCAAGTTCGGCCTCGTGCGTGGAAAACAAGAACCACATCAACGAATTCAAACCTTTGTCAATCCTCGAATTCGAGAGGCAAGTTCGGCCTCGTATCTCAAGCGGAGCAAAAAGCTGAGGCAAGGTCACCCAATCCAGCGCCGCACCCGGTACATGCTGCCCACGAGTGCCGGGACCCTCTTTGGTTCAGCCTGTGACTTGGATAAAACAAGAATTTATCGAATTGTTCATATGCTGTGCGGCACGCCTGAAGCACTTGTTGCAAATCAAAGAGCCCACACCTGAATTTGTTTCCCAAATGATGGTGTGTACATGTGTATATATAGTTATATATATATATGATATGTGTGTGTGTTTCCAAAATGCTTTGGAGACAGCCAAGAAGAAACTTTGGAAGCGCTCCTCGAAGCCACGGGAAAGCGGAAGCCCAGGGCAACTCCAAGTTCAAGGCCTCGTCGAGAGCACATGCTGACCGAGGAAAAATGCTAGTCAACAATTATTTGTCAAGATGATGATCAAGAAGCTCCTTAAATACCCAACTTCTTGATGATCAAGAGGAATTCAGCACATGAAATCAGAATTGTTCCACATCTATCGAGTCCACTAACAAATCTTGTTTGCCGCTTGGTGACCATTCACCTCTAAAATGTCCATTGACTGTTGAAAGCGCCTCAGATTGTCCCTTTCCATTCACAGAATGGACCTGAGCAAAAAGGAAACTGAACAAGCAAGCATGGCAATAGCAAGCCACAATGAAAACATCAATGACCAGCAATGGCAACAGCAGGGCGAAGCAAACAGAAACACTGTGACAACGACATTGCCAAAACACAATGGCCACATTGTTGACTGGCCACAATAGCAACAGCCACAAAAAAAACTGCAATGACATCAGCTACAGTTACAGCCAACTTAGTGACAACAACAGCAGCGTGACAAACCATTTATGATGGCAAGAGCCAGAAGAAGTGACGATGACAGGAGCAAAACCTTGCCTTAGTCGCAATGACAGCCTGGATGATAATACGCCATGACAGCAAGCAGCGACAAGCCATAATGATCACAACGAGGGAAATGCCAATAACACGCCAAAACACATGGCAGCAGCAACAACAAACCGCAATGACATCAGTCAAAGTCTGGTATTGTTACTCTAAAAACATACCCATGATACCGATTTCAAAACACACCTTGGGTGGGGAACGTGAAGTGGGGTGCACAAGTGAGGATAGGAATGTTCTTTGACTTTGGAGCTTGAGCATGTTAAGTGAGCATTTGTCTCAAGAATAAGCGTTCCTTGAAAAATCATGACCACAATAATGAAAAATAATTGGTCAGGTGATGTCCAGGTCCTTATGATCTTACTAATGCAAGCGGCTGAATTCTCAGTACTTGGTCATATATCCAGTTCTCTCGACAGCAACCTTGCAAATATGTGGTTTCATCCTGTGTCTGTGTAGCGCAGGGATCGCTCGGGGCAAAACTGCTAGCGATAGTGTGGGTCGAAGAACCCGATCTGCAGCCTCAGCATGAACGGCACCAGTGCCCCAGCAGTGACTGTTGCCGGTCACAAAATGGTCAGGTCCACGGCGTCCACTCTCAGTGACAGGAATCGGACCCACATCACATCTTGTTGCGTCGGGGCTTCCTGCAGGAAGCTGCAGATTGCTCTTGGCCTTGGAAGCAACGTCCCCCAGCCTCAACAATAATGAACTGGCATTGGAGAACAGGTAATGTCGCCAATAGAACCTGCCATAAGTCCACGCCGCTTGGCTTTCCATGCAGAGAATTGTCTGATGTCGTGCTATTTAAAATTCACATCACTCTCATTCAACTTTGCCGGCAAAATGATCTGTGTCAAAGACCTGTTTTGAAACGTTTCCTAAGTTTAGGTCCAAGGTCGGCCAAGTTCATTTACCTACTGTCTTGAAACCAACAACACGTCAGCTCGAGATAGTGTAGTTTTGATGGGTTCCACAGCTCCATAAATTGCATTTGGAGCATCATCACCATTCCATGTCCAGTGGTTTTGACACCCAGCTGTGTCACAAATCTCTACATCGTGGGCAGATTCTCTTGTATCCCTGGGGAGTCTGTCAAAACCCTATGCAGCCATCCATACAATGTACAAGAGACGCATTGGTTTACATGATTTCTACATGCACTGTAGGACATGAGCACTTCATATGCTCAGAATGTGTCGGAATTTGTGCCTCCTCATCAATTGGGGTTGCTGATTGGTCTCTATACATGTGTGCATGAGGACTTGGACCACTCTTCTGGAGCCTTGGATTTATATAACTGGCTACCACAAGCTGGAAACTTATAGAAAATAGAAGCTCCGAAAACACAAACATCATAGTGTGGAGGCCATCACTATTAGGTTAGGGGGAGGCCATCGCTTTTAGGTTGGAGGCAATCGCTCTTACGGGGAGGCCCATCGCTATTAGGTTGGAGGACATTGCTCTTGGGGGAAGGCCATCGCTATTAGGTTGGAGGCCCATTGCTCTTAGGGGGAGGCCCATCGCTATTAGGTTGGAGGTCCTCCCTCTTAGGGGGGGCCATCCTACTAGGTTGGAGGTCATCGCTCTTTTGGGGAGGCCATCGCTATTAGGTTGGAGGTACTCGGTAGCAGCTACGACGTGTGTGATCACACACTTTCATCCAAC